TAAAAAAAAAAAAATCTGTAAAGTGAAATTCCAGCTGAGAAAACCTTAGCCCTAAGTAACTACTGCTACAGGAAAAAATGGGAATATTGGTGAAAGGAACAGCCTGTGCTCCCTTTGCCAGCATCCCCCATGGGGAGTGCTTCCCATGGCCATCCCTGCTCCATCCACAAGGAAGAGGCACGGAGCTCCTGCCAGCTGGGGACCTCTGGAGTGCACCCTCCAAAATGCCACCTCCAGTGCTACCACCTGCCTCCCTCCGAGCAAAACTCCCGTTTGCCATTAAAGCTGAGGTGTTAATTCAGGTTCAGGGGAGTCTGCAAAGCTTCTCTTCAGGCTGTTGGGTGGCTGGGAAGGGAGAGAGAGATGGAAAAGTTGCTGGGAGGAAATTTGAGGGCTCTTCTGTGGAAAGAGCTCTCTGAAGAAGCCAAGTTCAGCCTGAAGTTTGTCACTGGAGTAAAACCTTCCCAAGATGAAACAGCTGCAAAGGCAGGAGCCCTGGTGGGATGGGTGATTGCTCCTCTCTAGGTCTTGTCCTCAGGTGGGAAATTAGAAACTGCCCAATCCATTCTTCCTGCAGGATGCTGATCCTTTAAGAGCCACCAGCATCACCAGCCAGCTCCAGAGGTCACTCCAAATCAGGGAGACAGGGAGTGCAGTTCCAGGAGTGAACACTGCAGGACTTCCACCAACCCCCAGCAACCAGAGCAGGACCAGCCTTCACACCTGGTGTAGCTTCACAGCTGCACCATGGGCACAGTGCTCCCTGTAAAATCCCTTTTCAGATGCACCTGCGATGTCCAAGAGGTTCCTGATGGACCTCAAGGATGCCAGCCTTCCATGAATATCTCCAAGCAGAACCAAAATTTACTCATTTACTGTTCCACTGACTCCAGCCCAACCCGTTTGTATGGACACAGGATCTTCCCCCCCTGCTGTTGACAGCCATATTTATTATTTTTAATCTATGCCCATAAATTGGCAAGTAGGGGGAAGCAGATAAAATGGAAAGAAGAGTTCTCAGGAGATCAGTTGGGCTCATTAAATGTTTGGCACTCTGTGATTATCCTTTGGCAATGAAATGCCACTGCTATATTTTAGCAGGGAACACGATACCTTAATGTACAGAGAATCTCCTCAGCCCAATTTTGGCACTCTTGAGAGAGGAGAAATTCAATCATCTGTGACCTGGATTGTATTTTTTAATGTCTGCCAAGCTAGATAAAATACTTAAATATTCACTTTTATATCAGCCCACAGGAGGATTTGAGCATTTCAGGTTGTGTAACTCAACATGGCCTACTTTGGGGAGAACGTGCAGAAATAGGCACATATGTACAAAACACTGAGTGTGCAGCATGTGGGGCACACAGACAGTGTTAATTAGCGTGGCACAATCCCAGCAGAACCTGCCCAGAGCAGCCAAGGAATTGGTGTCACTTCTGTTGGGTTGCAAAGGTCACCTGAGCAGAAACCAGGTTAATCTGCCTCAGATAAAGGTGCTGAAGCGTGGCTGAGTCCCTCGAGGGAAGGCACTGAGGATGGGATGGCTCTCATGGGATTTGGGCATTCGTGCTCCAGCCTGGAGAAAGCTGGAGGTCTTTTCCCACCTGAAGGACTCCTGGTGCTTGCCTGCCCTGTGGTGCTGCCGGGAGGAGCTGGGTGTGCCTGGTCAGACCAGGAATGGGTGTCCAAACCCACCCTGAGGTCACTTCTCCACCAGACACCTCTCTGGGATGAGGATGGGGGGTCCCAGCCCTGCTACCACAGCAGCTGAAGGGTTTCCATGGCAGCTCTGGTCCCTGAAGAGGAGGATGGTGATGTTGAAACGTAAATTTTAAGGAATTTAGAGATTTTAGAGATTTTAGTTAGAAATAAGCCTTACTAGATTTAATTAAAATAAATGAGTAAGTGTTGATGAAGTTAGGAGTTAGTAGTTAACTAATAACTGATTGCTTGTCAGCACAATGTTTAGTTAGCTGGGTTTATAATGAAGAATACACAAACTGACAAATAGCTTTTAGGAACATAAGACAATTGTGGGCCTCCTCTGTTCTGAAACCAACTGAAGACAAGGAATGGGAGTTCTACCAAGAGTTCATTTGTCAGATTGGCATTGAAAAGGCAGAAAGGTCAGAACAAGGAAGACTTCATTGACTTCCTCATTTTGGGACCTCTCCCCATGAAAGGGACACCGACCCATTTCAAGGGACAAAGCACGCGTGCTGAATGGCTTTGGGAGTGATTGGCATAGGAAGTGAATATGTATTTGTATTTTGGGTATTCAATACTTGGATGGATAAAAGGGCTCTGTAATCACCTGGAAGCTGCAGTGTGGATTTGGGAGTGACCCCACAAACAATAAACACACACTTTCTAACTTTAAACTGTTAGAGAGTTTTTGTCCATCACAGTTGGATATCGGTACTAGATCGATATCCATATTTTTTTAATAAATCAATGTGTCCAACCAGCTGGCAGTGCTGGCAGGTCGTGGTGCTGCTGGCTGGCTTTGCAGCTGTGACCTGGGTTTGTGTTATCTGGGGATTCCCTTCAGCAGAACAGGACGGGTGAGGATGTGCTGGGGCTGCTGGGATGCCCGATGGGGACGTGGTGTAAGAACGTGAAGATGTGAGGACATGGGGGTGAGCCTTTCCTGCCCCCCTGGGGCTGCCAGCTGTGCATCCGTGACCTGAGTGACCTAAATGACCTCTAGGGTCCCTTCCAACCCTCCTGTGATTGTCACGCACTTTGCCATGCCACGGCACTGGTCCTGGCAGCTGCCAGCCCCAGCTCAGGTGCTGTGAGGTGACAGGGAGGCCCCAGGGACAGCCCTGACCTGCCCCACACCCAGAGTCCTGCCCCAGTTACCACGGGCCCATGTGACACACGCAGAGCAACTGGTGCATGAAAAGAAGGGACTTGATCTCTCAGGGGCACTGGGCTGCTCTCCAGCTCCCAGCAGGACTGGCTCAGCTTGGCAGAACTGGGACAGTGACAGAGCCAAGGGATGAGCCAGTCCTGTGTGTCCCTGAGCCCCTTGCCAGGGCCGGTGGGGCTCCTCAGCTCTGCTGGGTCCCCACAGCCTCTCTGCAGCTCCTCCACCTCTGAACAGATACGAGCAGCTCCACCAGCTCTGCTGTTTTCTCTCTCTCACAAAGGGTTATTATTACTCTTCCTAAATCACCTAAATAAACCAAATTTCTCTTTGCTTACACACAGTTTTGTGATTGTATCTACATTAATAATGATCCACCAGAAACACCACCTTAAATGTTGCCATGAATTTTTACACTGCTTCCTTCTGAACCTGCTCCAGCCAAACCCCAGCTGCCTTCCCAAGGAAAGCAGGTCCTGGGCATTGCAGGGGCTCTGTAAAAAGCTCCTGCAGCTATTTCCCTGCATCTCAGAGGGTCGGCACCAGAATCAAGAGCTTTCGGTGTACACCAGGAATTTCCTGGCCACCTGCAGGGTTCCGTGTCTCCCTGCCCCTCTGGTCACTCCTGCTCCTTGGGTTGTGCAGATGAGTTATTCCCTGTATCCTGCTGCTTCTTGCCTTGCCCTCTCCCACATCCCAAATCCGTTCTGCACCTCTGCTCAAGCCCACTCAGCAGCACAGCTCCCAGCCTGGGTGTGGAGCTGTGGAAGGTGTCACATCCAAGGGACAAGAGACCATTTTGTGCCACTCCAGAGACGGGACAGCTCCTGGTGGCATTTCCCAGCAGCTGGGCAGAGGATTCACCACATCTGGCCATGAGGGGTTTGTCACTGGGGGTAAATGAGCAGATGTTTGGGACATTGCTCAACACCAGCATTTCCCAGGAAATCAGCAGCCTGGTCTAGTGGAAGGTGCCCTTGGCAGGGGGTTGGAATTAAATGTCTTTAAGGTCCCTTTTATCCCAAACCATTCTAGGATTTTGTGAATTTAACCATCAGCATTTGGGTCTCAGCCATATCCTCCCACCTCTTTTTCAGGTCTGGCTGCTTCTACATAGTCAAAATACTGCTGAAGTAGCCATCACCTGCAGGGCTACAGGGAGAGGCAGGGAATTGGGCACAGAGCTCAGGCTTTCCCTGAGGGAAACACAAGAGAGGGTCTGGGACATCACACTGCCCAATCCACAGCTGGTCCTGGCCCATCTTCCACAGGTGGGGAACTTCTCCCAGCTCTCTGCAGATTTTCACACCTGCCTGTGATATTTCCAGTATTTCCCACCCCTTTGCTCTGCCTTCCTCTGTGCCTGCTCCCTTTGTAGCTCTGTGACACGTCTTCCATGGGTCACACTCTGTGTTATTTTCAGGGCTGAACCAGGGCCTGGTTACCCAGCTCCTCCATCAGTGTCCAGACTGGGACAGGGGATGGAGCAGGATCAGGCAGGGGAATCAGTGCCTGGATCTGAGCTGATCTCAGTTGTACAGGCACAGTTTGTGGGGCTGCAAAGTGCAAGTCGAGAGTTTCCCTGAACGCAGCAGATTGTCTGATTCACTTTTCCCCAAAGAATACTGAAATGGTGTCATGCTGAGGCCAAGGAGAGCTGGGCTTAGGGAAGTTCCCTGGACACCTCTACTCCTTCACTGGAAAAGGCAGGACAAGCCCAGACAAGGCTGTGTCTCCCTGCCAGCCACACCAGCCTTGCCTTCCCCCTTTGCTCCTAGAAAACCAGCTCTGAGGGTGGATGCAGGCTCAGGTCACCAACAGGTGCCTTCCAACCCAAAGCATTCCATAATTTTCCAGGGAGCAACAACACAAGGGTGCAACTGCTACTAAACGTGGTGCGTTGCTCGGTAGGGAAGGAGGCTCCTGTCCACACGCAGCCTTTGGAGCTGCCTGACCCCAAACCACCAGAGCAGAGTGTCCCCAAGCCCACCCCTGAGCTCCCGTGGTGGCACCAGCTGTGCAAACAAGGCTTCTCCTCCAGGAGTTACCACAATTAACATTTAGCTGGAAAAGCACTGCTGCCTCTGGGGCTCCCTTCTCTCACAAAGCACACTCAGGGCCAGTCTAGTCTTGCTCCAGGTGTAGATCTGGAGTAATCCTATTAACCTGCCTTCAGAGAATTTTGGAAAGTCATTAACTGTGAAGGTGCTGCTAATTTCTGGTCTCACTGCCTCCGAGGTGTATCCTACCAGTGCTGCTGCTGCTGCTGCCCGAAGGGTTTTTGGACATAGTGTAAAAGCAAAGCTGCTGCCCGAGCAGCGACGGTGGGGAAGGTGCCCGTACACACCTGGAGCGGAGCCGGGAGCTCCGAGCCCGCCCCGCCCGGGCCCTCAGTCCGACCACTCGTTATCGTCCAGCTCGGAGTCGTCGTCGGACTCGCTGTACTCCACCGCGATCCGGCGCGACAGGATGGTCGCCACGTCATTGCCCACCGGCTCTTTTTTGGCCTCTTGTTCCCACTGCTCCTGGACCTTCCGGAGTTGGATTCCTACAGGAAAAGGGGGGAGGCTTCAGTGGTGTGCAGCATCCCCCTGCAGTTATAAAGGACTGGCTGGGACAAGAGGGCTGCTGCCCTGGTGGTTACAGAGTTATATGGGATGAGAGGATAGGATTGGCAGGACAAGAGGGAATGGTGGTAAACTGAGGCCTGGATTGGATGTCAGGAAGAAATTCTTCCCTGGGAGGGTGGGCAGGCCCTGGCACAGGTTCCCAGAGTAGCTCTGGCTGAACCTGGATCCCTGGCAGTGCCAAAGGCCAGGCTGGACACTGGGGCTTGGAGCAGCCTGGGACAGTGGAAGGCGTCCCTGCCCATCACAGCGGGTGGAATGGGGTGAGCTTTAAGGTCCCTTCCATTTCTAGGATTTTATGAATATATGACTACAAAGCTGTATGGTAGAATAAAGCTCCTCCTCTCCTTCCACTCAGCCTGAAGATATTGAACCTTCTGAAAGGTTAAATTTACTATTTGACCTGGAGATCTGCAGGAAAGGGAAATGTGAGAGACCTTGGAGCACATGATCCACTACAGCCTGGGAGGAAGCCACATGCCTGGGAGCTGCCAGCAATCTGAGGTGCTTCATTCCACCCCCAACTGTGAGTCCCCCACCTCTACACTGCATTTATCCCCCCCGGCAAGGTCCCACCATCCTCGCCCATCACCAGGCTGTTATGTGTAGTAGATATAATTTGTGCCATTTCTAATATGATATATGTGATATTGAATATTTGTTGGGAGTATACACGTTTGTATTAGGACTCCCCCCCGACCCTCGCAGGTGAAACTTGGTGTATGTTGAAACCCGATTTACAAGTAAAAAATGTGGCTTGGCCAGGAGATGGACCATGTCTGGAGAGATACGGGGACCCCAGGAGATGGGCCATGTCTGGAGAGGGACCCCAGGCACTGATAATCACATGAACGACCCCTGATGGATCTCATGGAAATCCTCGGGCAGATCCATGTGAATACAGCGTTCCCGTAAATTTCATCAAGAGATTCACCAACTCCTGACACTGAATTGTTCTTCAGCACCAAAAAAGAAAATCTTATTAACCTATGGACTCTGAATGGAAGAAAAGACTGACTGCTGAAATCTTGGCCTCAGGCGGAATTTTCCCTATAAAAACCTTGTGCCAGGATGGAGGCGTGTGGGCACAGAGGAAAACCTCTGCTGAGGTGACTCCTTGTTGCACACCCAGGGCCGACCCCGGGCTCGGCTCTGTCCTTTCCTTGCGGCTGGCTAGATAAAATTTGATTGCAACACAAATATTTCACTTTTTTTCGTTTTAAATTTGGCTGGACACCTTTTCATTCATAGCAGGGCCACCAAGCTCGTGCGTGCCGGCGCCCGCACTCACCCCTGCGGATGGCAGCCAGCAGGTCGCTGCGGGCGTCGCTCATGGGCACCAGCGGCAGCGGCGGCTTGCGCGGCTCGGCGGCGGGCGGCTCGGCGGAGTGCGCGGGCGAGGCGGACACGGCCGGCGGCCCGGGCGGCGGCGGCGGCGGCGCCACCGGGGGGCCCAAGGGGCCGGGCTGCGGCGGCGAGGCGGAGTAGGGGCCGGGGGGCGCGGGGGGCGGTGACGGGGCGTAGGACGGGGCGGCGGCCGAGCCGGGCGCCAGCGCGGGGGGAGCCGAGATGGGGCTGTCGAAGGCGGTCTGCGCCGACGGGATGACGGGCGGCGGCGGCGGCGGCGCCGGAGGGACGAAGTACTCGGCCATGGGCACCGGCTGCGGGCTGCGACGGGGCACGGCGGTCAGCGCCGGCAGAATCACAGAGCCCCGGGATGGGCTGACCCAGGACGGCCCCACGGGGGTCATCCAGTGCAGCTCCATCCCCGAGAGTCCCACCCTGGGCATCCCCGGGAGCTTTGTCTAAACGCTCCCGGAGCTCCGGCCAGGTCTGGGGCTGTGACCGTTCCCTGCGGAGCCTGCTCGGTGCCCCACGACCCTCTGAGGGAAGAATCTTTTCCTGATGTCCAGCCTAAACCTCCTCTGGCACAGCCTCAGGCCATTCCCTTCGGTCCTGTCACTGGACCGAAGAGATCAGCATCTGCCCGTCTGCTCCCCCACATGAATTTGTGGACTGCAATGATGTCTCTCCTCAGTCTCCTCCAGCTGAGCACGCCAAATGCCCTTAACCACTCCTCACAGAGCTTCTCCTCAAAGCCCTTTGCCATCTTCATGGCCTCCTTTGGACACTGTCTAATATCTCAATGTTTTTTTATATTATGGTGCCCCCAGTATTCAAGGTGAGGCCGTCCCAGTGCAGATCAGAGAAGGACAATCTCCTGCCTTGCCTGGCTGGCAATGCTGGACCTGAGGCCCTCTAGGGCACACCTGGCCCTCCTGGCTACCAGAGCACTGCTGACTGAAGGATGGCACCTATTACCCATCCCAGCACCTATCACCCATCCCAGCACCCATCACCCATCCCAGCAACCATCACCCACCCCAGCAACCATCACCCATCCCAGCAACCATCACCCATCCCAGCACCCATCACCCATCCCAGCACCCATCACCCATCCCAGCACCCATCGCCCATCCCAGCACCCATCACCCATCCCAGCTACCATCACCCATCCCAGTATCCATCAAACATCCCAACACCCAGCTGGTTTAGTTTGCTCTGAACCCCAATGAAAGCTCTGTCCCGGAGCTGGACTGGTGGTGGAGGTGTGCTGGTGGGATGGGCTATGGGTAATGCAGTGGTGGAAAGCAGGCAACACCCCAGGGAAAAGCCCTCCATCCACTCTGCCCCGTTATCTGGGATGATGTTATCCCAAAAGCGCTCCTGACTGATTTGGCCTTGAGTCTCACCAGCGGCTTTGGACCATGGATGCTGCAGAGGAGAGCTCTGCTGCTCTGTCAGCCCAGAAATGGGAGGTCAGACCCCCACCAAGCCTCCCTTCCTTTGCACACCCCTCCATCAGCAATCAGGCTGAAGCTTTACCCGTAATCCTTGACTAGGTGGGGCCTGGGCCCGTTGAGGACGGCCTCGGCGGGCGGCGGCGCGTGGGGCTGCTGCAGGCGGGTCAGGCTGTTCTGGCGGCTGCCCGCGGCCGGCCGGAACACGAGCTCGGGGGGGTTGGTGGCCGCCAGCCCCTCCTTGTGCTCCGCCGGGGCCAGGTGGGCCGCCGGGGCCAGCAGCTGCGCGGGGTGGTTGGGGCTGGCCGGGTACGAGTGGTCGGCAGCGTCCGACGCGTAGGACCTGCGTGCGGCACAGGAAAAGCCGACTGTTGTAGTCCTGAGGGAGCTCAGGGGGTGTGGGTTTGGGGGTATTTTGGGGTTGAGACGACAAAACAAGGAAAAGCCATGAAAATATCGATGTACGAGGCAGCAGAGTGAGAGCAGAGGGGAGGAGGACACAACAGAGCTGAACCGCTCTCTTCCCTTAGCTGCGAAACGGAAAGTGCTCCGGTTTTATCCCAGTGCCAAGGCTCTTCCTGAGCTCCAGGATGACACCCTGGGGACACCAGCTACCCATGAAGCTACCACGGGCTACCAGCTGAGCACCCCGACCCTGCTGTGGGCAACATGTCCCCCGCAACGACGGAGAGGAAGAGCAAAGCAAAGGAGAGCGGTGAGCTGAAGGTGTAGGAGGTAGAACCTGCCTATTATCTGGGGACAGTGATCCTTCCGATGATGCCATGTGATAGGGGGATGGTGAGAACCTGTTATCCGGCCGGAACTCTTTATCATACGCCATCATGTTCCACTCCAGGCGCCGGTTGCGGGCTTTCCTCACCTTCTTCACCTCCCGGGTGGAGTCCTCCACCAGCCGCTGCTCCTGCGGGAACACAAAGCCACGGCTCCACCTCCAGCCCGGCTCCTCCGGAGCAGGAGCAGTCCCTGGGGAGCATCACCCAGCCCTGTGCACCAGGAGGTGACTGTCCCCAGGTCCAGCCTCCTTGTCCCCCTCCTGCCCCCAGCCACCTTCTGCCTGCGCTTCTCCTTCCTCTTGTCTTCTGTCGCCTGCAGCATCTTCTCCTTCCATAAGTTGAAGAAGTAGGAGGGGTCGGTGTAGAATTTGAGGCCGTCCTTCTTGTCATCCCTGGGGGTTGGGAAGGGGAGAGAGGGTTACCAGCCACAGGAGAAGATCCCCTGTTCCCCTTCCCAAGGGCTTTGGTGTCGTGACCATGAGCTGCTGCCCCACCACAGACACATCCAACACAGCAGTCAGCACCTGCAGGCTGTGGACACACGTTCCAAGCATCCCACACAATGGGGGAGGCAGCACAGCACACAAATGGGGGCACACCAGATTCTTCTCATGGAAAGGACCCCCTCGGAGCCCCCGGGAGAGCTGCGCCCCGTACCTGTAGGGCGTGAGGATGTTGAGGGGCGGGGGTTTGTCGCAGCGCTGGTACATCTCCATCACCGGGTTGGGGATGGAGTTGCGGGACACGACCTGCTGGTTCTGCACCGTGGAGCTCTTGAAGGCTTTCCTCATGTTGATGTCCTGCAGCGAAACTGGGGGGGCACAGGCAGGACAAGGGATGCAGGGGTGGCCTCAGCCCGCCGAGCACGGCATGGCGGGGGTCTGGTCCCGAGAGCACGCCTGGACATCAGCCCAAACCAGCCCCAGCCCCTCACCTTCCTCCACGGTGGAGTCCAGCTGCGTCACCTTGATGACCAGCAGGTCCACCCTCTCCTGCAGTGAGTTCATCCTCATGTAGAAGCTGTTGGCTTCGTTGAACAGCTCTCCGAAGATGTCCTCTGCGTGCCTGCCTGGCAGGGGACAACGCGCCCGTCACCACAGCAGGTGGCTTGTCCGGCTCAGCCCATCCCCTGGAGCACCCCCTCCCCGCTGGCTCCCTGGGGTGCTCTCCCCAGCCTGGATTTCTGGGAGCTGAGCCTCATCCTCTCCCAAAGTGCTGCAAGGAGTCGGGGGAGCCCAAATGAGCACCCCTTTCCAGGGAGAGCAGCACCCACAGGGACACAGAACATTCCCAGTGCCCCAGAGAGCCCTTGGATCCATCAGGGCAGATCAGCCAAAAAAAATGACCATCACACAATGTGACCTGGGGAAATTCAGCTCAGGTAGAAAGCCAAGAGCAGGGCACTGGGGACAGTGCCACAGCAGGGAGGATCTGTAATTTGTTTCACTTTATCAGTTCTTTTCCTGCATCTCTCAGTGCATCCCTACAACAGCTTATTTATTTACAGTTATTTATTTAGGATTATTTAGCTTTTTATTAGAGTTATTCCTATCATGGCGCTGAGTGAGGTATCTGGCAGAGCATTGCTGATATCTGTAGGCTACAGCACCCATCCCATCCCATCCCATCCCATCCCATCCCATCCCATCCCATCCCATCCCATCCCATCCCATCCCATCCCATCCCAGGGATCCTCAGGGTTTCCTCCAAGCCCACCTGTAAACCTCCTCCGAGCACTCACCAGCTGGGTCACATTGACTCCCTTTTCCCCTGCATAGGAAGCTGAGCAGACATGGGCGCTGCTCGTGCGAGCCACTGCACTTCCAGCAGCTCCCTACATCCTGGGTTTATTTTTCTGGGAGTATTTTAGAGCAGAATCTTCTTCTGGATGTGTGTGAAAGAGCTGGGGCATGAATAGCTTCTCTCTATTTTAAGTGGATATTCTGCATGAACTAAGTTGCCCCTGTTAAACCTTCACAGTGGTGTGTCAGTGCTCTCATCTGCCCCTTTTCTGCCGAGGTCAGTCCCAGGGCACGAAGACAGCTGAGGGTTTAGACCTTTGATCGAGACCTCTCTTCCTCAAAAAGCTCTAACTTTAAAAAGAATAGCTTGGGGTATTTTAAATCTTCACCTGACCTTCCTATTTCTGGCCAAGTGGAGAAGCAAGGGGCTCCTGAAAAGCTTTCCATCCCCCACTGCACAGACCAGCTGTGGGAGGAAAATGGGTCTCAAAATGTCACCAAGTGCCCATTGTGAGCTTAGCAAAAAAAACCCCCAAAACTTAAAAAGTTTATCTATGTATCTATATAACTATATATCTGTATCTATATAACTATATATCTATATCTATAGCTATAGATCTATATATCTAATAATATAAATATAATAAATATATAATAATAGAAAATAAATTAAAATAATAATATCAATAATAATTTGTTTCAGAAGCAATTAATTCTATAAAATTATATGAATAAATATATATAATAAAATTTAAAAATTAAAAGTCGGCACATCCTCCTATTTTCAACAAGCTGCATAATTCCCACTGAATTAGGAGTGGCTGCAGCCCACATGGCTCTCACACAACCCCTGGTTCTCTGTGCTTGAATCCGGTGGGAGTGACTGGGGCATCCTACTGGCATCCAGTGCCATCCTGGTGCCATCTCAGTGCCATCCAGTGCCATCCTGGTGCCATCTCAGTGCCATCCAGTGCCATCCTGGTGCTATCCCAGTGCCATCCAGTGCCATCCCAGTGCCATCCCGGTGCCATCCCCCAGCGGGTGGCTGTGCCATGACTTACTGAGGCTGCCCAGCTGCTTGATGATGGCAGCCAGCGTGCTGTTGGTGACACACTCCAGCTCACTGGTCACCCCGTCGGGCAGGGCCCCCCGGCACAGGTGCCGGGGCTCGATGTTCCTCTTCACCAGCGGCATGGCGAGCCCTCACACCTCTCCTGGGAAGGAAAAACCAAAATACACAAGTCTCACCATGTGCCTGCTCCCCCCACGCTCCCCCAGCTTCCTCCAGAAGTTCCCCACGCTGGCACGGGGCAGGTGCAGCAAGCAGGGGATGGATGCGCTCTGGGGGTGCCAACCTTGGGGTGCTGCTGAGCACCCGGGTGCCAGGCTGGAGGTGAGGATGTCCCCGCCTTTGTGCCACCGTGTCCTTTCCCACTCACTTCCCAGAGCTGTGCTCAAGCCATGAGCAAACTGCCCTGTGCTCAGCCCTTCAGCTGGCCCTGAGAAGCCTCATCCAGCCCAAAGAGAAGCGAGGGAGCGCTTGTAATGCCATTATTTCCAGCTCACTGCAGGCTCTCCAGGCTTTTATTTGTGCACACACTGCACTGAGACAAGCTGCTGTGGCCAGCTCATCCCAGCTCCCTGCGTGGCCCCCCAGCATCCCTGGGTGCTCCCATAGCTCCTGTGAGCCTCCACAGCATCTTTGGGTGTCCCCACAGGATTTCTGGGTGCCCCCATAGTTCCTGTGAGCCTCCACAGCATCTTTGGGTGTCCCCACAGGATTTCTGGGTGCCCCCATAGCTCCTGTGAGCCTCCACAGCATCTTTGGGTGTCCCACAGCATCCCTGGGTGCTCCCATAGCTCCTGTGAGCCTCCACAGCATCTTTGGGTGCCCCCACAGCATTTCAGGGTGTCCCCATAGCTCCTGTGAGCCTCCACAGCATCTTTGGGTGCCCCCACAGCATTTCTGGGTGCCCCCATAGTTCCTGTGAGCCTCCACAGCATCTTTGGGTGCCCCCACAGCATTTTAGGGTGTCCCCATAGTTCCTGTGAGCCTCCACAGCATCTTTGGGTGTCCCCACAGGATTTCTGGGTGTCCCCATAGTTCCTGTGTGCACCCCCACAGCATCTTTGGGTGCCCCCACAGCATCCCTGGGTGTCCCCATAGCTCCTGTGTGCACCCCCACAGCATCTTTGGGTGCCCCCACAGCATCCCTGGGTGTCCCCATAGCTCCTGTGTGCACCCCCACAGCATCTTTGGGTGTCCCACAGCATCCCTGGGAGTCCCCTGCTCCACTGTCCGCCCTGAACTGGGGATGGTTCATTTTCTACAGGATTTAAGGAGATGTAGGGAGATCAAAGGCCTCATCCCCACTGAGGGCACCCATGGGAGCCACAGGGAAGGATGAAGGATGGGCACTACAGGCTGTGGGGTGCTGGGGACAGGGTACCCTGCTGATGTGAAGGGTGAATGGTGGGACACAGGCTGGGAAAAGAGGCAAAAAAGGAACATTTATTATCCATGGTGGTGTCTCCTGGGACTGGGACATGGACCCTGGGACTGGGACTGGGACAGGGACCCTGGGACTGGGACTGGGACTGGGACATGGACCCTGGGATTGGGACAGGGACACGGACCCTGGGACTGGGACTGGGACTGGGACATGGACCCTGGGACTGGGACAGGGACAGGGACACAGACCTGGGACTGGGACTGGGACAGGGACCCTGGGACTGGGACTGGGACACGGACCCTGGGACTGGGACTGGGACTGGGACTGGGACAGGGACAGGCAGCGACCCCACAGGCTCACACAAGGGGTCTTGAGTGCCACGAGTGCATCCGGGCTCAGCTCAGCTCCCAAAGCGAACTGGTGCCTGTGCTGACCAGAGGGCACCAAGAGCGTTCCCAGAGAGCAGAATTTCCCGTTTCACGTCCCGAGCATTCCCCACCCGCTCCATCTTTCCCAAAAAAGCCGCTCCCCTCATTCGCTGTGAGCGGAGCCAGGGATGCTGCCCGCCAGCGGAGCCAGCGATCTGCGGAGTTCACATTTTTTGGCCCCGGGAGCGCTGGACGGAACAGTTTCCCTTTGAGAGCGCCCGGCCAGCGCTCCCAGCAGCGGCAGCAGCTCCTCCGCTGCTTTCAAATGCAAATTCCAGCTCCCCCCAAAGCCTTTCCGAAGGGCTGGGCTCTGAGCCCTCCGCAGGGCTCTGCGGGGCTTCGGGCTCGGAGCTCTGTGTCCTCCAGCGCTCCCCTGCTCACGGATGTCGTGCTGTCCCCACCTCCCAAAAATCAAATTTCTGCTCTGTGTCCTCCAGTGCTCCCCTGCTCACGGATGTGGTGCTGTCCCCACCCCCCAAAAATCAAATTTCTGCTCTGTGTCCTCCAGTGCTCCCCTGCTCACGGATGTGGTGCTGTGCCCACCTCCCAAAAATCAAATTTCTGCTCTGTGTCCTCCAGTGCTCCCCTGCTCACGGATGTGGTGCTGTCCCCGCCTCCCAAAAATCAAATTTCTGCAGTTCCTGGGTGACAGCATTTGCGTGTACATGTACAACCCCCTCCGATTTCTGGGCAGCCCCGAACCCCCCAGGCCGTGCAAAGAACTGAGGCAGCTTCACCCCAAGCTGGTTTTCTGTGTCACCCCAAAATCTGCCCTCAGAGGCTGAGCCCTGGCACGTCCCAGGCTGCAGGGAATGGAGGGCACAGGGCAGAGCCCTTAACGAGCTGCCCGGGCCAGCAATTAGAGGCAGGGAACAAAGAGCCATTCTCAGCATCCCCTTGGGTCATAGCCACGGCCACGGGCACTGGACACAGCCGTGGTGTGGGAGCCCAGAGCATCCCTCTGGCTGCCCTGGCAGGGGGTCAGGAACCCCCCTGGACAGAGCCCCCAGGGACACTGGCTGTGATCTCTGTCCATGGAAAAGAGTTTTCACTCTTACAGGATCAATTACCAGCTCTGAGTGTTTGATACAAGTCATAATTAAGTGTGGCATGGGTAAAAAAGTAAAATTTTAGGTTTCTAGACTAGGGGTCCAAAGGGGACAAGATGCAGGAAATTGGGTGTGCCTTGTCCTTTTTCTCCTTCTTCATGCCCTCCCTGTCTCACTGTGGTGTTGGCATTTTTCTGTTGGTTCAGGCTGGGGACACACTGTCCAACGTAGGTGACAGATATTGGCACGTTATTGTAAATCCAGCCCAGGAGTTTCTGGTATTGAATGTT